TTACTTACTTACTACGTACTACTACGTACGTACGTACGTACGTAGTGTGTGTGTGTACTATATATATACTACTACTACTCTCTCTCTCTTCTTCTACTACTACTACTACTCTCTCTCTCTCTCTCTCTCTCTCTCTCTCTCTCTCTCTCTCTCTCTCTCTCCCCCCCTCCCTCCCCCAAACGCCAATCTTACTAGTCTCTCTAATGCGACCAAAAACGGTATTTTGTTAAAAGCACAATTAGTTTTGATCTACATGAATGATCAAGTAGAAGGAAGTTGGAGAGGGATGACGTAGATGGCTACTCATTTGCAGGCCACTTTCCTCCTCTTCTACAATTTTCCTCGCTCCCTCTTTTCTCCAAGGACTCATCGGTTATTGCTACTACATCACTCTCTCTCTGCACAAACCAAATTACATCACTCCCCTCAATGCGCTCTCTTTTCCACAACAAGTCTTAGTATTCTCACTCGACACAACCCAAATTGTTACTCTCCTCCCCCCCCCCCCCCCCAACCGCCAACTCTCTCTCTCTCTACACAAAGCCACCCTCTTACTTTCTCTCTCTACATAAACAATCCTACAAGTCTCTCTCTCTCCGCAAAGCCAATCCTACTAGTTTTTCTCCTTCAATCTCTCTCCCTAACCAAATTGTCCCTCCCCCACCCCACCAAAAAAGAAAAAAGAAAAAACTCTCTTTCTCTCTTGACATGATGGGCAATCTGGCCAATGCCAGCCTTACTTATGCGTTGGGCAAAGAGAGGCAAGTACGTTTAACTTTTTGTAGAGAAAGAGGGAGTAGTAGGGTTGGCTCACAGTATAGAGAGAGAATAAATAGTAGAGTTGGCTTTACCCGCAGAGAGAGAGATAGGGGCAAGTGATGAGAGAGAGAGATGGGTCCTAGGTTAGAGAGACAGAAAAGGAGAGCTAGTTCTACGTTTAGTAGAGAGCTACATTTGTGGATTATTAAGAGAGAAGAGATGGTTTTGTGGCTAGGGGAGAGAGAGTTAGATAGAGTTTTATCCATTGAACATTTTAAGTAAAATATAAAATAAATAGGTCTTAGCTTTCATAATCGGTGTATATGCATGGTAGTCATTATTTTTTAAAGTCGGATCCCTCCTAGCGAAATTTTAAAAAATTTATGCCTTTTATAACACCTAGATAAATTATAATCAGAACAGAAAGAACCAGATAAGTCTAGGAAAGGCCAAACCAAAAATAGTTTGGGCTAGTCCTCTAGGGCACCAGGGCAGTCTGGGTCCGAGGGTCTTAGGCCGGGCTTGAGCCAACCTCTGAAAGGTGGCTATGTAGGTCAGGCACGTGTATACAAACAAAATATTAAGCCACAACACTGACGTGCCTGCTCACAACCGCCACTCATAATGCAGAAATAATCAAAATAAATCTACCACAATCTAAGCATCCTCACTTGCTGCCATCAAACATATTTCTTTTATTCATAAAAGTCAAAAAAATACAATGCATAAATGAATGAAGAACAATGGAAGCACTTATTAGGAAGAAAATGCCTCGGATCACCTCCAAAGGACTTTAAGCACACCCCACTCCCGATCACCTAACTTGATGGCACACAACTCTAGGCCCCTTTTAAATCTCCTTAAGATGTGAAGCTTTAATGGCAAACCAAAACTAGATGGGACATATGAGAGAGCACAACCGATATTGTAGGTCACATAGACATACTACACACCAAGGCACATCACACATCACACATAAGAGAAGCGCTTTTGGTCTAGAGAGAAAGTGGAAAGAGGGCCATGTGGGACAGAAAGAAAGAGGTCGCATGTGTCTTCGAGTGTTTTCCCATGTGTCTTCTAGGGTATATTGATAATGGTATCTAGAGAATTAAGGTTAGACATCATATTGAGATTTAGGACATCATATTGAGATTTAGTCTAATCTGTTGATCTGCGGTGATCTGTAGAGTGAAGAGAGGCTCTTACCTCAGCACTCCATTCTCTCAACCAATCATCATGATTAAGCAAAGGATCTAGAACCCTTATCCCTATGTTTCCTTGACCCCTTCTCCTTTTATTTACTAATTTTCAGCAATATATTTATCATACTAAAAATTTGAATATGGGCACTTTCCATAAACTCACAAGCCACCTTCCTCCCTTTCCTTCACAATATCTAACCCACAATATGATGCAATATTATGCCATATCGTGTAAGAGAGAGAAGAAAAACTCTCCAAAAATGAGGCATGTGGGTCATGGAAACCCCTTGTGGGCCCCATGCCCCACAGCATGTGGGCCAGCCACATATGGGCCCTTGCCCATTGTACCCCACGTGGGCCCCCTATAATTTAAAATCTCAAAATTATTTTTAATACCTCACTTAGTTTTTTGAAAATGGCATGTGAAATTTTCAGTTGAAAATCAAAAATAAAATATTGACTACACTTAAAAAGTTCATTGTAGTGATCAATAATTATCTGAAACACAATTAAACACAATAAGAGAGTATTGGATCCATTGGATCAAGGTTATGGGAAATAACTAAGGGACTTCACCTATGCTAGCTCTCAAGGTCTAAAGTCCATCTTCTCAAACCAACCCAATGGAATCCATGACCCACAGTCTATTGCAGAGGCCCATGCTTGGTCCATCAAGGTTGGCCAATAAATAAAGGGAACATACGTCTGGTGTGTGGATTATTGGATCCCCCTAAAGACAAGTCATGTCCTGCATAAACATGTGCATGATGTCGCAATGATGCAAAATGGCAGCACATGTACACGCCTTACCCCAACATATCACTTTCCATTTGGGGGTAGCAATGGGTCGGGTCCAGCTGAACCCGGACCCGAACCCATACCCGACGGGTCCAATTTAAACGTGCTCGTACCCGTATCCAACGAGTAATGTTGAACCCGACACCAGTATGCGTACCCGACCCTGGAAAATAGGAAAACGCTGAGATAAACTCATAGAACTGGTTCTAAACCCCTGCAACTGAATTCAACTGAAAGTTCGCTGAAAATGGAGAAAAATACCATAAATTTCACATATCTACCAACTTGATGACGCCTTCAACCCACTCCTACTCCTTCGATGAGAGGCTCCATTAAAACCACCCTTCTATTATTCATACTCTCTTCCCCTCTCCATTCCAACCACCATGGCCACTCCCTTTGATCAAGAGCTTCTCATGCAACTCTCTGAAACCTAGGGTTCAATTTTGACAATGCAAGCAAAAACCTTTGCATGCCAGAAAGCCATCAAAAAATGGCTGGAGTTCCAAAAAACTGAGTCAATCTCATCGGTTTTTTGACTGAAAAAATGTGAAGGAACACCAAAATGGACAAAACGATGGCGATTTTTGCCGGAAAATGGTGGTTTAGGGCCTTATTTTTGCCCTAATTTAGAGAGAGACAGAGAGTTCCCTTTCTCTCCAAAACGACGTAAAGGCTCTATGAGGTTAGGCGACTTCGTTTGGGGATTTTACAATTTAGGGTTTCAACTTTCAATTTTCAAACAATACTTAAAACAATAAGTACATTTTAATTAGATAATTACATTTTAAAGTATTAATAGAATAATTAATTACTAATTTATATTTATTTAAAATCCTAAATATACTTATATGTATATATTAACTATAAGGTGATTATTTTCAGGTCACCGGTCAAGTATGGGTCGAGCCCACTAGGACCTGTACCTATACCCGAAAATTTTCGAGTATGCATTGTTGGACCCAGACCCTACCCACAGGTCCAAATTTGGACCCATACCCAGACCCAGACCCGGTTTGAGTATACCCACCGCGTCCCAGGTTGGGTCCAGGTCCATTGTCAGCCCTAATTTCCATATGCATATCATATGTACAAGCAAAGCAGTAGTAGGATTTTCGCCATTGCCCTAACAAACCACAAATTGCACACCTGCATCCTCCTAGCGACTCCACTTTGGTAATCTCTCTTATCTCAAGAAGGGCCAACCCTACAAACCCTCCAAGGTTACGCCTTATAGCCCAGAGCTAAAGAGTTTTGGACTCCATTCCCGGGCCTAGACCATCAAACCCAGGTGAGTCAACGCATTGGGTACTATGAAGCATGCCACACTAGTGATACATGGACCACACTCCCACTGGAGCCCAGTATTAGTCGTAGTTCTTACATGCTTTCAAGGCCTTTAAAGGACACATCATTGTCCTACCGCCTAGGTGGGCACCTAGACGACCAAGGAACCCTAGGCCACCTCACCTAGGCCTGGGCAGGCATATAAGGGCGTCAATTCCTAGGCGCCCGCCCAAGCGGCCCAGCGTTCAATCTTGGGCGGGCACTGAGGAACAGGGCCCTATTTGGGATGAAAAAGATAGCCTTTGAAGGGCATTTGGATCTTTTGACTCACAAAGAAGGGGGAAAAGGTTTATTTAGGGGTATTCTAAACCACCAAGGTGAAAAGAATTCAATCCTTACTAAAAGCACCCAAAATTGTTATTTTTTGCAAAAAATATTTAATCGAGAAAACTTGTGAAGTTTGAATAATCATCCCAAAGCTTACCTAATCCTATTGGAATTATTTTTAGGGTGCTTGTGAGGGTATTAGTAGGCTTTTGGGTGAAAAACATAAACAATTATCTCCTCTTTCTTTTCTTTTATACTTTGTGTTATCTTGTATAATGCATCATTTTGTATTGGTCTTATTAGAGACTTGAAGTATATATGGATGATGATTGCATGCCACTATAGAGTATGGAGAGTTGGAGACAAACACATTGTGGACTTGTTTATGTTTTCCCTAAATTGTTTGAACATGTTTCAATATTTATGTGTATATATTTGCATAAAAGAAATAGTTATAATACATCAAAAAAATACAAAATTGACACAAATATTTGCATATATGTCCATTTAGGCTGCACATGTACATATTTCTAAAAGTCTGTCACCTCAGGACGCCCGAGGTTCTAGGCACCCTAGGCCAAGTCGACTGCCGAGCGTTTTTTGAAACCTCGGCCACATACCCCAACAAAATCATAATAGAAAACAAGCAAAGTATCACTAGAACATGAAAAAGAAGCACACTTCTCAAAAGCTAGACAAATGAAGGAAAAATTAATATACTAATGCATGACAGAAAGAAGAAAATGGTCTAATTATACCTGAGGTTCTTCCAATGGGTGCTTCAGTATGAAATGTGAAGACATGGTAGAGATATCTCCAATAAAGTTGTGGCCTGAAGAACCATGTACACTAAGATTATATTGAGGGCCCACCCCAGATTCCCTATTTAAGCGAAATGAATCTCTGGCGTTTAGTAAAGGGCTATAGGAAGAAAATGTTGGACATGAAGGAAGAGAATCATCAATCGATCTTTGAAGGAGTAATCCAAATGCGGAGGACCAGATTGATACAACGGCAAAAGGAAGTGGAACAGAAACCACTTCACCTGTAGCAATCCATAACAATACTTTGTTATTATCATATGCAAAAGGGAGAGAGAGAGAGAGAGAGAGGCGGGCACAAGTACCACGCATTTGGAAGTTGGAACCAAACTCAAAAGTCTCCAAACGATCCCACCACATAATCGGGAACCTCCCCAACTAAATCAACAGATAAGGACACGCTAGCCTACAATTATCTCTCAATCATTGGAAGTGCTCACACCAAGACATATACGTCAAATTCCAATAAGAACAGGAGCCATCATGAGTGCAGAATTAGACAAACCACCCTTAGAAGTGGAAATACTTCCGATTTAGTCAAGGAGAATACTACATATAAGTTCTAGGGGAACTCGCAAATGCATACTAGCATGTAAACTATTTTTACTCATGCAGAGCAAAAGTGAGTTACTCACCAGAGGGGCTGTGGATGGTCAATGAATCGTCCTGCAAAACACAAAGGAGGGGTTCTGATATAGAATCCATCCGGCACCAGCAAGCCTAACATGAGAAATCAAAAACTTTGTCAACATTGCAACTAAGATCAATAACGCATCTTCGCAAATGCACTTAGAATTTTCCATGGTTTAACAGCGATGCATTAAAAGGACCATAAGAAATGATGACCATGAACAAATTGCCATAAATATAAACTCGCATCCTGTGCAATGCATAGGCACACTATATGAGAGGTAGATGGTTAACTGATTGGAAATAAATTAGATAGGGTATAAACTATAAATTTAAAAAGAAAGCTTTATGCTAATAAATATTTTAAATCTAAACCTTCAAATCTCAAATATATCTGTTAAAGTACATTAAAGTGGCATACACGCCAACCAGTGTGAACACCAAGGAGCATGTTTCTAAAAAATATTTATTTTAAGGGTAAAATCAAATTTAAAATGCCATTCAAAAGAGCCAACTTCCTTTTTAGGATTAACCTATTTAAGCAGTGGGAATTTTGAAACAAAATCTGACAAACACCCCATGAAACCCATCTTGAATAATATAGATCATACACAGATCAGATCATGAAATTGAAGTATGCATTATCAGAATTAATTTGCAAACAACCAGCCACAGTTTTCACTGCAGCAAAACAAATTATGATCAGATAGATAACTTTCACACATGACTACAATAATTTATTCAACCAACAAGCACTTTGATAAGTGATTATAGATGTATAGAGATATTGTACCACATAGGCAAGCGCACACATGTTAAATTTTTATGCCATTGTCAAAATGGAGGATAGCTAGGAAAATAGGCTGTTTTGGGAAGACAAATTAAAGCGAAGAAGAGTATTCCAGATATTCACATCTAGTAAACAAGACAGTTCAATGAAGACAGGAAAAGAAATATAAAAAGTGAAGAACAATATTCTAGATATTCACATGTTGCAACAGAATCACAAACTTATTGGCATTCAATCATCAAAAATAAACTTTGTTCATACGTAACTTAATCTATCTGTGTCAAAATTCAAAAAAAAATAAAGAAAGAAAGAAAGAAAGGGCCTAGAGGAAAACCAGTACCCACTATTCAACATGAAAACATAAAGTTTGAACTTTAAGAAGTTCTACAAAGTTTACAAGTCTTTTATATAAGTTGATATCACTAAAGGAGAACTTAAATTTCCAAGTCCAACAAGCCACACATCAAACGATACATCAAATAATCACAAGAATCAAAGGCATCATAACTATTGTCCTAGTTTAGATCAGCAGTGATGCAGGAAGAAAATGTGGGAAATCAAATCCACATTTCTTCTGAATTTCAACCAAGTAAAAAACAGCAAAAAACAAGAGAAAAACATGGTTGTAAATCAAGCCAAGAAAAGAAAAAACTTTCTACTTTTATGAAATGAAATCCATGCTAATAACATAAGCTTCCCACAATATCATGTCCCACTTTTTACAAGCCCATGAAACCCTAGAATTAACTTAAAATCCAAGTAAACAATTTCAGACTATTTTATCAAAAAAACAATTTAAGACTCTAAAATACCTCCAAAATTAAAAAATATTAGAAATACCCATGTGAAGAGTAACCGTGAACAGCACCCATAAATAGTATCCATGAACACTCATGAATAGTATACCAGTGAATGGCAAAAAAGAAAATAAAAAAAATACAAACTAAATATCAATGAATCGTAAAAAAAGAAAACAAAATAAAAAATAAAAACTAAGTGTTGGAGATTAACCCCACATTATAATTCCTGAAAAAAAACTCTAATAAAAAATATAATGCAGACCCACATCCATGAAAATAAAATTGAAAAAATAAATTAAATTTTTTAATCACCCAGCTCTTAATCTCCGTCATTCTCCCCTAGTTGGAGAAAACTTGCCCTCAAGTTTTCAAATGGGTTAATATGAATCATTTTCTATACACAAGGTCTCTCTCTCTACTCAAATTTTAAGCATTGACAATGGGGTTTGGTCCTAGGACATCAAAATATTCTCGAAAATATCATCAAACAAGTTGTTGAGAATTTTGGTACACCCAAGTATGGTAGTCTACCTTTGTGGGATGGAATCTTTTCATTGGAAACAGAAAATGTCAACCCCAACATTGATGGAAGAAAATGTACAGTCATTGCCTCTAGTTGCCTCCACTTTTACCTCTTCACCACCACCATATCGCAGTCATTACCATCACTACAACAATCATCATGATCGCCTACAACTTGTTCTTCGTCATAAATAAGAACTCCAAGTTCTTTGTTTTCATCCAATGGTTCATAAAAATAAAATCACCATTAAAGATGGGAACACCCGGTTCTTTGTCAAAAATAAGGGCACTATCAAACATAGGAGCACAGTGGAAGATAGGACCATCTACTGATTCAAAGAATATTGAAACCAATTAAAGATTGGATCCTTATCGTTCTCGTTCAAACTTATGCTCTAGTTGATGCCATCTACGTAACTTGACACGTCATTAGTTCGTTCCTACTCCAATTTCATTCTTGCTCAAATTTTGGATTCTGATTCGCACCAATCTCCATGAAAACCCCCACAATTTGGATTTATCCCTATAGATTCCTCTTCGTTTAAGGTATGTTGTTGGTCTCGCTTATAAAACAATTGTGTAACCCTCTCCCCGAAATTGTTGATTTCCATGCACCATTGAATCTAATCAGCATCCATACGGCTCAAACCTCCACGACCAGCCATCACAATCTATAACCATCTACAAATGGTTCATTGATACCAATTTGATGCAAGAAGGAAAGGTGGAAAATTAAATCCAACTTTTTCCTAAACCACAAACAAGAAAAAATCAGAAATAATAGAGAAAAGGCATGGTTGTAAATCAAGCCAAGAGAAAAACTTTCTTCTTTCATAAAATAAAACTCATTCCAACAACATATGCTTCCCATAATGTGACATCCTAGCCTTTATAAACCCGCGAAACCCTTGAATTAACTTAAAATCCAAGCAAACAATTTAAAGCTCTAAAATACCCCCAAACAAAATTAAAAAATTCGTAAATGTCCATGTGAATAGTAAGCCTTGAACAATACCGTGAATGGCATCCAAGAACAGTACCCATGAATAGTAACCAATGAGTAGTAAAAAATAAAAATAAAAAAAATCGAAACTAAGTGTTGGAGATTAACCCCACACTATAATTCCTAAAAAATTAACCCTAATAAAAAATAACATGTACACCCATATGCATAAAAATAAAATTAAATTAAATTTTTCAATCACCTAGCTCTTGATCTCGATCAAATAAGAAAGCTTGAGGACCATTGAGCAAGGATGGCATGAACTCTGATTAAGAAAAAGTTAACTGACATGACTCCTGAGGTTGGAGGCAAGTCATAATGAACCTCCTAAAGGAGCAAATAAAAATTCAACCATACCAAGCAGTACACAAGGGCAAGACGGGTTAAACACCAAAGTCCAAAAGACTCCAATGAAGAGAAATATACTCCTTGGAAGAAACACTCAATGGCTAGTTTATGTTAGGCTCAGATTTTTTTGAAGCCAATAACATTTTTTTTTCACACTTCATGTTTTAAGAACTTTTTTTGTTTTGTATTTTTAACATTTTTTCCGATTTTTTACTTCTTTACCCCTTCTTTCAAAGTTTTTGGCCTCATTTTTCAAGCTCAGGCATGATCATGAGAGATGACTTGGACGCGCCCGAGTTACTCAAATCAACATGGGCGGAATTCATTGCCTGAGAGACGAATACTGATCTAAATTGCACTGGCTAGTCTCGAAATTTTTATTATTATAAGTTTTAATGCCCTTCCCGTTATCCTTTTCTTTCCAATAATTTAAGTCATTTTGTGGTGGTTTTTTCTGTGTTTTTCAAAAAATTAAGGTAGCTCTCTCTCTCTCTCTCTCTCTCTCTCTCTCTCTCTCTCTCTCTCACACACACACACACACACAACCCGAAAATCCTAGTTTGGGGCCTATTGACTGCCAACTTTACCGTGGGATTCCGACCACTTATTCTGCAGTACCTCAACCTCCAAGTAAGTTTGTCAAGAAAAAAAAAAAACAAATTTGAGAACCGTTAACATTGTATTACTAAGATAGTAATAGTTACAAAATTGTGAGAACCGTCAAAAAAAAAAAAAAATTACCTGCCTTTTTTAGATTTTAGAGAAGTTATAAAACAATTTGGTTTTTAAGGGTTTTGCAAATAATGGATTTTGTTTAAATCATGTTTTGTTTTTTAGACATGTGTGGTGGGTTTCTTGCACTCAATGTTCTTATTTTACCTTAATTATGTACGTATTTTCCTGTTTGGTTGATTTTCTAAACGCTTTCTACATCAATATTTGGTGCTTTTTGGTTATGTTGACCTTATGTTTTATACATTCGTGGTTTATGCCCTTGACTCATCATAAATTTATGAGAATGAGAGTGGGAGTGTGCCTTTGTGGGGCTATGTAATTTATATCTGATCATTATGATGTGATTCACTTTAATACTACACTAATTTGCTCAACAGCCTTCAAATTCATTATCCAAACGATTATTTCTTTATGAATTAAGGCCTTAGTGGAGTGCATCATGCATTATGGTGTGTTACTTTGTAATTTTTGGCTTATAATCTTGTATATTTATTAATTAAAAAATGTAACTAATAATTTCTATTTTTTTAATTATTTATCAATTTTAAGTGTTTTGTCTATTCCTAAATTATTTCTATTTTCTGAATTTTAATTTTAAAAGTTCACTAGTTTGACCAGTAAACAGGTTCTATTTGACTAGTCCAAGCAAACTAGTGCCTCCACCAGTTCGATGTCCAGTGGTTGTGTTAACATTGGATACACCCAATGTTGCTAATAAGGGGGTTGAGCCCCTTAGTAACTACAAACTTAGTTAGCAATAAGCTAAATTTCCTATGGAGGCTTCATGGGAATTAGTGCTTTAAAACCTGAGATCGGGTTGTAGATAAGTCGCCTGTCAAACTGGTTTGGATTGGCAAATTCAGACCGATTCAGTGGGTGGCCAGATTGTCTTACGAATGCAACTAAAAAACAAAATCATAAACAAAGGGAATTGGGCAGCAATCTTGGGGTTCCTATGGACTAGATCACCGACCCCCACAACCAGTTCAGGTTTCAAAACGAACTACACCAGTTTGAATCACACCAAATGAGATGCATAACAATAAAACAAATTAGTTACACACACATCCTAAAAACCAAGAAAAGGTGCTCCTGGACCTCAAATTAAGGAAATTCCAATACTAGCTTCAAGATGTTAAATAATTTCATGGAAATCAAAGCAAACAATATGGTCAAAGACTTCTGTTAGAGTCAAAAGAATCAAAAAACTTACAATAAGAAATGTAAGTATTACAGGTAGACAACACTGGCAAAAAGCGTGCAAGGTAATATTACGAGTAGACAGCAGCAACCATGATTGCATATAAATTATCAAATCTGCCAAAGAGAAAATAAAAAGAAAAAAAAAAATAATATATATATATATATATATATATATAGTGAACAAAGGAAAAGCATTCCAACCGTTGTTTGAAAAACCGCCCGATCTAACAGGTAACCGCCCAGTTAGATCGGAACCAGCCCCTTGCCAGCTCCGATATCAGGCGGTCTTGAAGACGGGCTGGTATTTAAAAAAATAAAATTCAAAAAAATATCTATAAAAGCTTAAAAATAAGGAATTTGATTTGTAATACATTTTTTAATATTTTTTACATTATGGTAATTATTAAATATTGTTTTGGTCACTAATAATTACTTTTAAAATCCATTTTTTCATTAATTTTCAACTTCATTTGAATGTGTTTTGTTTTAATCATTCTTTATATGCTTTTCATATTTTAGTAGATTGTTTTTTGCATCTTTTTTATTTTTTCAACAATTTTTTGGCCGCCGGGGACTTGCCCGATTAGAACGGTTGAATCGGCCGGTTTACCAGTTAGGCCAGTTAAACCGCTTCTAGCCCCATGTCCGGTTAACCGTTCCAGTTCAATTTTGCGAACACTGATTCCAATTGAATGATGGGTCAACAAGAGTGCTAGAAACTCAAACCATATAATGTACATACACATTAGCATACATAAATATATGTGCCTACATGCACACTCTATACATATTCATAAATTTGCAATGCCAAATACAACTAGAACGACCCGGGAGCTTCCGGTTGGTACGGGTAACCTATGATATAAGTACTCTCTTGGCAGGTACTTATTGAGCACGTATTGAGCAGTAGATTAATATTAACAAAACTCCATTGTTGACAAATAATGATGCATATCATGTGAAAAATGAAGTTTGGGATAACAATATTTTCACAAAGACCATGGCAGTGCCATGTAAATGAAAATGCATAGCACAGCTACAACTCAGTGATATAATTTAGTTATGCCATTAAGGATTACCAATTATGAAGACATACCATAGCAATTGATGTTGGGGAGGTGTATCGTTTATGAACTCGTGAACCAGCACTCCATATAAGCCTGTGACAAGTGATGAAAGTTTTAGAAGGGAATACCAAATAATGGAAGAAATATATAAGACAAAACAAATAAGCAAAACATAGTTCAGAAGATGTTATGAAACTCAATCAGAGGAGAATTCCTCACTTCCAATTATAGTAATCTTCAGCAATTATAAAGCATGGATCCTTTCTTTAGTAGGTCACAATAAGAAAATGTTGTGGCAAGTTGCATTACTAACTTATCACTACACCATGTCATTCCATGCTTCTCTTAGGCAAGCTTTCCTCTGAATGCCACACTTGGTTTGATCTTTAATCAAGTTTAGTGACTTCAAAAATAATTTCCTATTCGTAGCACAATGTGACCAGTTTATAACATCATTGAGTAGAAGATTGAATGCTCAAGTTCAACAATTGACTAGGAATTGGTGTACTAGAAAGGTACAAGGCGAGAATTGCAACAACAAAAACAGAAAACAAGGGAAACTGTTTGAGATTATAGAATGATACCATCTACAATTCAGTCAAACAAAACAGGTATCATCTGCTTGGCATATGCACTTCAATAAAAGAACCATGTACAGCTTAGAAGAGTACACCAAGGAAATGATCATTATGGGGAACCATGCTTGCTATGTCAGTCTAAGACCTAGAGCATTGAAAAAGGAATCCACAAAGGGGAAATCTGGCTCACTTTGGAAGTAGCATTGTCCATCAAACCCAATTCAATAGGGTTTATTAACAGAAGTGTCAAAAGAAAATTGGAGAAAAGTGGTTGGCACTCTTTCATTGTTCCGCTAGCAGAGAAAAACATATAACTCCCATGCCTTGACCATTACTTGATATAAAACGCCCTTCAAGAAATCCAATGTCAAGCGCAAATATACCCAGAACCCATTCAGGAAACCTCAGATCAACTAGTATCATACTACCCAAATGCCTCTACATCAAGCTCTTGTTTCCAAAATGCCACCTCCTTTTATTACCACCACTCAAAAAGAAGTTCCAGTAATGAAACCATGATCACATTCTCGCATTCGAAGAATTCACATTAACAAAATTTGGACAAATCCATTTAGTGAAGATTTGGTATCGAAATGGAAGTCCTTTGTTCCCACCCCATCTCAGGGAATTGCAAAAACATTTCAAATGGTGCAAGAATTTGTTCGACACAATAATATTTAACAGTTCAGCATGCATATGTTTGAAGAATCTAGTATTATACATTATATGTCAGATGAATATGGTATTAAGCTGATGCATGTCACTTGATAAAGGCATGTCAATTGATCAGAAGTTCCATTTTACTTAAATGAAGCAGTGTATCATTCCGTGACTGATGCCTTTGAAGTCCCATATTTGAAATTGTAATAGGATTTATTCATTATAAATGCATTTCTCATTTATTGAAATTTTGAAATGCATTCATAACAAATAGAGTAAAGATGTAATGTGAACCATGGTATTATAGCACAGTGATGTGATGCTAAGACCATACACATTCCTAATAGACGGTTTTCTGATCTATTACAGAATTGAATCCAAAAAACCAGAGAGCATTGTAACCAGAAGCAGAGTACGAATACTGGTAAATAATACTAGTAGGAGAAACATATGGAGCATTGTAATCAGAAGTAAATCAATCCCAAAGAGCACTTATTACCACATACCGGTTTCCTCTGATGAAAATTTCATGATCACTTTGATCACAAGAAGCAGAGGTCACGCTATTCTCAGCTAGAAATCTTGGATCTCTGGTAATCTGAGGATTAAATAGAGAATACTGATAATCTTCAGGCCTGTTCTCATGAGTTTCCCCATCTGCCTCTTCCACTGTCAAACCAAAGGGCCTGAACTCTCTTAAAAGAGTCAGAGTGTGAACCCCCAGCCCTGAAGCCATCACCACCAAGCTCTACAACTGTTTTAGAGTATCAGCATTAGAAGAAGTAAGAGCAAGCTCTGAAACTCTCAAAACTAGGGTTAGGGCAAAGAGCCACACCAGATATTATAGTGTCTGAACTTTGAAGAAACTGTTTCGCGCCACTCTTTCTCCTGCTTAGTGCGCTAACCCACACACTCGAATGCGCTGACAAATACTCATTCTTGATAACGGCCGGGTACCTTTGCCGTTATCATTACGTTATAACAAAAAATATAATAACTTTGAGCTTTTCTTTTTGCATTTTTTTTTTTTTTTTTGTTGGCGGTTCAATGGTATGAATGGATTGAGATGTAGCATTGCTTGATGTCAAGTGCTAACCATTCATTGCCCAAACCCTATTGCTATAATAACTTTGAGTTACTAGTAACTGTTGTAATAACAGTGATCATCTTCATCATCCAAGAGTTATCTCAACTATTTGGGTCACCTTGCTAGTGGTAATCTTATAAAATGCCTCTTTTTGAATCTTGACGGCTTGATCTAAATTACATCACAATTATTTTCACGTCAGATTGCTATTATAATGGTGATAATCTTATAAAATAATTTTTTTCAAGAAGGTGCTTTCATGAAAAGGACACGGTTTTTATGAATCCATATAGAAATGAGTAGACTCTTAAAAATTTATTTTTCAGATGGATATTTTGATCCGATTTTTAAGGACATGTAATCTCTAATATGGAGATCGTGAATATAAAAAATTAATATATTTTAAGAAATAAAAATAATAATTTTATGAAGAAAACATTTGGACCGTTAGTTTCATTTGTTTTTAGATGGACCACTTATTTGCATCTATCTTTAAGATGGATGCTTTATACCTTGGGGCCCACATATTGTAGAAATACGGTCCAGCCCGCATGAAACAATTTTCCTTCATGAAATGACTTATAAAAAATAAACATTGCTATATAAATTAGATGTTTTGTACGTAAGATAATTTAATCCCCATAGTGATAGTTTCCTTGCTCTTTTTCATTCTAGAATGAACAAAGATGATCGTCTAATTTTGAGGCCCAATAAATCATCCTAGCTAAGTTTTTGCCGTTTGGTACATTCTATAGGAGTATATAACACTATCTCCTGAGTTTAATTGCTTAAGCATCCTTCATTCCCCCTCCACTCTTTCACCCAAAAAAATGACCTATAATTTGTAGTCCATAAGAAAGTGACTATGTAAATTGCCGTAGGCCAATTCAGTTTTTGGATACAGTGAAGACTGGAATGTACAATGATATGAAGGTTTAAGGAAAAATTAGTGCTGAGTACTCGAAGGGACTAGTTGGATTTTTATTTATTTTTTAGTTTAATGTTAGGAGTTAAATGACTAGCTCGATTTTCAATTTAATGTTAGGAGTTGAACTTGAGATGTAGCATTGTTAATGTTAACCGGTAACTGCTTGGGTCCAAGCCCAATTCCCATGGCCTTCGTGGAAGTTCAACAACTTTTTCATGTAATAAAGGCTTTCCTAAGACATGGAGAATTGTTTGGAAGATTACAGTAGATATGATATTGTGGGAAATTTAGAAATAAAGGAATAGGACTTTTGAAGGTATAATCTTACCCTTTCAAAAAGTCATTCTATTAATTCAACAGTCTATTTGGTATTATCTTTCTGTGACCAAGGAGGAATGGGGAATTATCAAATTGGACGTCATGTCCAACCTCTCCAATTTTTTGACACTTGGAATGAGAAAAGCTAGACCTGAGGCTTTATGGTGTGCTCTTCCTTTTGGATGCATTAAGATTAATTTTGATGGTAGCTCAATGGGTAATCCAGATTCGACGTGTATTGGGGGAATTATTCGAGAATGCTATTCTTTCCTATCCATGATCTATTGGTGTGGTAATTTCGAATCTTGCATAGATAAGCTCTTTACTAAAGGGATTGTATATTTTTGTACACCACAACTTGGGGAATATTTATATTGTTGAAGGGGATTCTTTTAACGCCAAAAAATGGTATAGGAAAGAGCAATTTATCCCTTGGGAACTTCAGTCTATGTGGTTACAAGAATTTGGATGTCTCAACTTCTTTATATATTTCGTTTTAACATTTCAATAAAGTCGTGAACATCGGTAAAAAAAAAAAAGCTAGTGAAACATAACTTGAAGAAGAGCAAACCAAACATCTCTTGCTACCATTCGATGCAAGCGGATATGGGAAACTAAAACACTTAAAAGTGATCCATCCAAATTAGTAGGCCTATAAATGGGTCAGGTCGACCCCAATCGGATGGAATTTACAGGGTTCAGGCGTGAGTCAAACTAAAAAAAGACATTATATATGTATATATAGGAAAACATTACTAAGCGTATATAGGCGAAAATGAACAGTGATTTTGCCTATGCCCATCACCGTCAAAAGTTCATCGTACGGTTATAATTGTCAGATAGTGTTTTATTTTTCTTTTTTTTTTTTCTACAAATCGGAATGACTTGAAATTTGGATCATATGTTTTTCAATAAATAGGAGAATTTAATAAAAAGCTAAAACAAATAATTCGTAATATAAATTGACCAAAATACCCCTGAAAAATTATGGGGGTATTTTGGTCTATTTATATTTTTCAAAATATTTTTTTCATATTTTTATTAAGTGCGCCCCACTAAGATGTACACACACTCTAAATTTCAAATCATTCTGGCTAATAAAAAAAATAAAAAATAAAAAACTATTGAAAAATCGTGACCGTACAATGAACTTTGGATAGTGAACATAGGTGAAATCACTGTTCATTTTCGCCTATAGACGTTGAGAAGAGTTTTCCGTATATATGCGACAAAGTTTATACTAAACAACCTAGTGAAAAAAGTGGGGCCCCACCAATAGAAAAAAGGTTGTTTTAGTATTAAAATAAAAAATCTTTAAATAGATTTCAAACTCTAAAAGACATTGCATCTTGTTTATCGAGATCATCCAATTTTAAGTGTTCAGATCTGCCTCATATGCACCAATTTTTAAAATTCAAATATCGTATCCAAGGGTTGAGATCCATTACTTTGATTGCTTAGGGCCTAAGCCTTCTATAATCTGTATCTCTCTCTCGTTTAAGTTGAGCCTAGGCTCTAAAAAGTCAAATTAGAACCTACTTCAAAACATTCACTAGAAGAAGTTGTTTTGATGCTCAAATATCATCAAATTGATCATCTCGACATCAAGATACATGGACATGAGAAAAAAATAAATTTCAAGTTTTGAAAATAGTGCATCTTGTGACATATTTTTCAACCGTCAATTTTTAATAATTTCAATTTTTCATAGATCTGATCGATCTACACTATTTTTGTAGCTTTAATTTTATAACTAAAGACAAAAATATAATTTAAGGCTATCATAAAACTTTCCCACATTGAAACCATATTTCTCGACACTATTTGAAGAGCTCAAATTTGATTGTTTAGAGCCTTGGTTCTATTCAAACCACACCCATATATATATATATATATATATATATATATATATATAGTAGGTTGTCGGTCCGTACGACACTACTAACGTAAGACGTACTACTACTAACTAAGTATACGTAATATAGTTATTTTACTAACTAAACTAAAA